CACCAAGGGGAAGCTGCTTTCGCAGCAGCATCAGGCGCTGGTGTGCACGCAGCAAGTCTCCCGGCTTATACGCCCAGGTAGCCATCACTGCACAGACAGCGGATCCAAGAAGCTCGAGAAAGGTGAAGACATAAACTCTCTGTGCTGCCGCTGTTGCTGCTGCTGCAGCACCATCTGTAGCAGAAACAGTAGCGCGAGCGATAGGTTGCAATGCTTCCGCAGCAAGCTCCAGCAACTGTATGAAAAACACCAGGGCCTTTAGGCAGGTAAACTTCCAACCTGAGGTGTACACGCAGCTCAGCTCATACGCAAGCGCAGTACATATTGCTTGGATTTCTTGAATTCGGTCACTGCATCACCACATACAGCAACTGCAGCATTCATACAAGGCCTCATACTTTAGAGCCTCCATTGATAGCAGTAGCCACGACGGTGCACACTATATACGTCGAGCCTGTTTCATTCTTACCTAAGTTAAAAGGTTTCAGCAGAGGTCTTGTGGCAACAAAGACGACGGCAAGGCCCCACATAGCAAGAACCAGTGAGAAGAAGCAGCAGAGCTGCAGCAGCCGCTGCAGTACTTGTTGATGGCATGCTCCTCCTCCAGCAGCACCAGTGACATCCGTATGAACACCAGCTGCAGCAGCAACTTTCTCTCTCTCGTTCCCGAGATGCATTAAAGTTGATAGCAAGTAACACAAGAGCACTCGCAGCAGCTTCAGCACCGTGAAAGGAAGCAAACAACGGTAGCTCATCCGCAGATCCCACTGAGCAAACACACTCATACTATTCATTCCTTGACGAACCCACACGATCGAGAAGAAGCAAAAGTGAGAAGCTCAAGGAAAGCGAATGTAACAATAGCATCAGCAGCGACGCTCGCAGCAGTACAAATACAGCAGCAAAGGCACCGCTACCAGCAGCACAAGCAGCGTCGTTGCCGTGGCTGCAACTGCGGTAACAAAAGCAACAGAAAGAGCACGAGGCTGAAGATATCTCACCGCTGAGAAGGGCCTTGGCTTTGTTTTCCAGGCAAGACAGCACAATGGCGGTACGAACCAAATTCTTCTCTCTGTAGCTCCTGTTTTTTTATCTTTTTCCTCATGTGGTGATGCAGCGTCTGCATCAGAGGTGGGCTGTGGCTGTACATGGAGATCGATATTGGTTTCTTTTCTTTGAATATTCCTCAAGGGGGCTTCGCTACTCCGGTCTTTACCCGAAAATAATACCGCTGGAGAAGACCCGTGAGATGTTANCTCAAGGGGGCTTCGCTACTCCGGTCTTTACCCGAAAATAATACCGCTGGAGAAGACCCGTGAGATGTTAGAGAGGTGCTGCAAGTGCTCCCAGGCAGTGCTGCTCCAGAGACTGAGAACGGCCCTTCAGCAGCACTCAGCCGCAAGACGCGTCGCCTCTGCTGCTGCGGCAGCTGTTCTTGCTGTTGGAACCTATGCCGCTCCAGCTGCTGCTGTCGGACATCAGCAGCATATGTTGGGGACGCAAAAGAGGCGCTTCTTACCATGTATTGGTTCGTGCTGCTTCTGGCTCTTACAGCAGCAGTGGCAGCAGCCGTGGCAGCAGCAACAGATACTCTCTCCGCTGCAGCAAGGCTTCTGTCGCTTTCTCCAGCCCCCATCGCCTCTGACATCCTCTTCTGATGCTGGGGATGAAGTTCGCACAATTCGGGGGCAGCAGAACAAGCAGCAGAAGAAACCGGAGCAGCAGAAGGAGCCGGAGCAGCAGGAGCAGCAGCAGGAGCAGCAACAGGAGCCACATGAAAAACAGGGAGTAATGCATCTCCTTCGAATGGCGATCGGTCTGCTTCTGCTTCTTCATTTCGTGT